TGGAACTAGCAACCTCTTGGTGCATGGCCGATGCTCAACCACTGAGCCACACCAGCTGGGCTCTCTCTCATCATTGATGTTTCTCTCCCTCTCCCTTCCTCTCTGAAATCAATAAAAATATATTTTAAAAAATAAAAATATAATTGCACCAAGACAACGTTTTCAATATCTTACAAAAGAAACTCCTCTGGCACCCTTTGCGGTTCCCCTGGAGACGGGAGGGAATGTCGCCGGGTGTTCCAGCTAAGCCTCACGTGTCCTCGTGCAAAGTCACAACATAACTAGCCCTGAACACGTCCTCTCTGTTATAAACATCCACTTCTGTGAGGGTTTGGTTAAGCACAGGGGACTAGTATCACAGACACCGCGCCCAGCCCCCACCGTCAGAAAATAAACTTCTGCGATGGGAGAAACGCACAAACTCACCGAAGATGTAGAAGACGTACGGCCACCCGAGGGTCTCGCAGAGGAAGCCACCGACGAGGAGGACGGTCAGGGAGCCCAGCATGAGCCCTAAACACAGGCGGTGGTGATGTCCGGGTGAGAGGTCAGGCTCGGACTCTGCGTGCCTCCTACAGACTGACCTGGTCCCAACGCCGAGAGGCACAGGGTGGACGCCATGAGGGGCAGCTCCTGCCTCTTCGCTCAGGAGCCACGTGACCCTGGCCAAGTTATTCATCTATTTGTGCCTCATTGGGCCTTGCGTGCAAAATGAAAATAACGTGTTTTAAGATAAATTAACAAGTGCAAAGCACTTGCAAGCGTTTTTCTGCCCAGTAAGTGTGCACTTATAATCAAGAAGATAGTATAGTCCTAGCCGGTGTGGTTGAGTGTCGACCTGTGAACCAGGAGGTCACGGTTCGATTCCCGGTCCAGGCACATGCTCGGGTTGCAGGCTCCATCCCCAGTGGGGGCGTGCAGGAGGCAGCTGATCAATGATTCATCATTGATGTTTCTAACTCTCTTTCCCTCTCCCTTCCTCTCTGAAATCAATACAAATATTTTTTTGAGAAAGAAAGAAAAAGAGTAGGGCAGTGCTTTCAAGCAAGAAGGCAGAGGAGGTGGGGGAAGGTGTGGCTTTTGGTGCCCGGCCCTTGCCTGGTGCTCTGGACGGTGCCTGTCAGGTGCCCCTGAGGCATCACCTACCTGAGATGGAAATGGTGATGAGCTGGTTCCTCTCCAAGGGGGGAGCCCATTTCACCCAAATTAAATACTGGCTGGTTTGTATCATCACCTGTGAGGGCAGGGGGATGTTCCACTCTTGGTCATCTGAAACATTTTATTTTTTAATGTATTTTTATTGATTTCAGAGAGGAAGGGAGAGGGAAAGCAACATCACTGATGAGAGAGAATCACTGACCAGCTGCCTCCTGCACGCCCCCTACTGGGAATTGAGCCCACAGCGCAGGAGTGTGCCCGTGGCTGGAATCGAACCCGACACCCTTCGGTCTGCAGGCCGACGCTCTACCCACCCAACCAAACCAGCCAGGGCTTCTGAGACATTCTAGAATCATACTCCACTCAGACTGAGACGGCCTCGCGGTACCTGGGCCACGCCTTGGACGGTCCGGAGGACGATGAGCAGGGCCACACCTGCCTCGGCCGCCAGCGGGATGAAGAGGCTCAGGGCGGAGACTGTCAACAGGGCGGCACCAATCAGGTGCCGGGGTCGGACTAGCCCGGCCACGTAGCCACTGGGGACCGAGGCCACGAAGGAGCCGTAGCTGAGGGAGCTGAGGAGGACCCCCTGGATCTCGGGGCTCCAGGCATACACGGGCGCCTGGGTGACAAGGAGAACCTTGCTGTTTATTCTTTGGTGAGAGAGCTGAATATTTCTTTAAATATATTTTTATTGATTTCAGAGAGGAAGGGAGAGGGAGAGAGATAAAAACATCAATGATGAGAGAATCATGGATGGGCTGCCTCCTGCACGCCCCCCACTGGGGATCCAGCCTGCAACCAGGCATGTGCCCTGACTGGGAATGGAACCATGATTTCTGGTTCATAGGTTGATGCTCAACCACTGAGCCACGCCGGCCGAACTCAATAAATAACCCTTTAGATCAGTGGTCCTCAACCTTCCTAATGCCGCGACCCTTTAATACAGTTCCTCATGTTGTGGTGACCCCCAACCATAAAATTATTTTCGTTGCTACTTCATCACTGTAATTTTGCTACTGTTATGGATCATAATGTAAATATCTGATATGCAGGATGTATTTTCATTGTTACAAATTGAACATAATTAAAGCATAGTGATTAATCACAAAAACAATATGTAATTATCTATGTGTTTTCCAATGGTCTTAGGTGACCCCTGTGAAAGGGTCGTTCGACCCCCAAAGGGGTCGCGACCCACAGGTTGAGAACCGCTGCTTTAGATCAAGCCATTGAAGCCACGGAAAGGGTTGTGTCTCCTTAAACATACCAGCACCTTAAGTCCCATCAGAGTTCCGTTCCTGTCGCCCAGGGCGACGGAGGAAGAGGCGTTGGGCGGGCTGGACGGGGCCGTGCTGTTCACCATCGCTGGGAGGGCGATGCTCAAGTTCATTTGTTGGGTGGAAATCGCAAAGTTACAGAGATGCACGAGGAGGGCCAGCCCGTGTCGGACCGAACACACGCCTGCGAGAGGGCACAGAAGGCCTCGTCACCGGGGTCCGTTTCTCTCTGCACCCCCTCTCCTACGTCTGGAAGGGGGAGGCGATGGCAGTCGGTCTGTGAGCAGCAGCACAGGGAGAGCAGACGTGGCTGTGTCAGGCAGACACCTGTCCCCCGGGAGGGGCGGGGTCACACCCCCTCAGAACCCAGACCGAAGGGGAAGGGAGCGCCTGTCCTCACGCTGAGGCAGGTCTGGGTCGAATCCGAGCAGAGACCTACGGCCATGCCTCCTGGACTTAGAATCAGAGAGGCTGAGGTTGATTCCAGATCTTCTATTTGGCATCTGCTCTGACTTCCTGCCTTGGCGACAAATCACGCCTGGACACCTGCTTTATGTCCTTCAAGTTTATTGCACAACATGAGATAATTCTCAGTAAACATTCTTTATAGCTTATAGAATTCGCAGCAATTGGTGGGAGCAAGGAGATGCTACAGACCCCCAGAAAGGAGCTGAGGTCACCGGGTCCCGGTTTTATCCACAACCAGCGCCGCCCTTACCTTTGCTGGAGGCTGGCGCTAGGGCCGTGATTCCGTCACCGCCGCTGGCCGGCTCCCCCGTGGTGGCCGTGGTTTCTGCTGTAGTGGACATGGCGTCCCTCCTCTCCCAGGGCCTGGGGTTCACCTGCGGGAATTAAAGGACACACGAGCAAATAGAAAGAAGCATCCTATAGTGCACAGGACACTGCCCTGGTTCTCCTAAGAATATAGAGGAAATGTTTGGTGGGAAAATGCCAGGTTAGGGTTCAGGAGACCTGGTGTGCCTGGGAAGGTCAAGGCCTGGGGTCCCAGTTTCTGCGTCTGGAATGAGGGATCTGGCCTGGAGTGCCTGAAGCGTTGTAATTTTCTTCCCATTCAGGGTCTCCTTGTCTCTCAATTGATATCAGTAAGCACTGGATGTTAAAACTTAACAGTCATTTTTTTAAATGTTTTTATTGATTTTAGGGATAGAGAGGGAGACAGAAACATCAATCACTGCCTCCTCAGGCCCTCTAGTGGGGATCAGCCCACAACTCAGGCATGTGTCCGGACCCGGAATCGAACCAGAGACCTCGCTGTGCACCGGACAACGTCCAACCCACTGAACCACATCATTCAGGGCTTGACCATCTTCTGCGGAATTTCACCCAGAAGATTCCAATGGGTTAAATGACCAGAAACACTGTTTTCAGTGTCTAGACTTCCTGAGTCAAATAGAAGACACCGCACTCTTAAGCCCCGTGATATCCCCACGGATGTCATGGAGAGTTAGAGGCGTCAGCTGGCTTTTCCCTGAGTCTGGCCTGGGGTGGGTGCTGTGGCTGTAACATGAGGTTATCTGGAGGCTGACGATAACCGGTGGGGGGTTTCCTCTGAAAATGACCAGAGGGTTGTTCCGGCAGATTTGTTCCCTGGAGTCCTGGGGCTCTCGCTTCTTTCAGGAAAAGGCCACCTCCTCTCTCACTTTCTGGAATTATCTCAGGAGAGACGAGCTGTTCCCCACCCGCACAATCTCTATCCCTGACCAGCAAGGTAAGCTGCTCCTGGGGCAAGACCTGGTCCCCGAACGCAAAGGCAGAGCAGTTAAGGGCAAAAGACCCAAGGCTGACCTGAGGGAGGCAGAGTGCAGGGTCCTCATTCCTTTCAAATGAGTGTCTCTCAGCTTCGCACTTTTTTGACTCCCCAAGAAGTAAATGATTATCCCAAACCTTTAGCCCTTCGGTTGCGAAATGGGCAGATTTGACTGGCTCTGAGGCTTAATGTTTGACTTTGCTGCTTTCGTCTAATTAACAAGTCGACCAAGCTCATTAAATCTCCCTCCTGCTTCACGCCCAGGGGATCAAGGTCCCTTCTTATCGGACAGACACCCCGCACTCCCTGTTGACAGCTGTCCCGGGTCAGTCTGTCCGTGGGAAAGGCCTTCCTGCCGCCAGGACTGCCGTCGAGCGGCTCCCGGGACCGTGAGCTCCACCCGCCCAGTGTCTCACACACTAGAGTGGACGGCCTGAGGCTCGTTGTCCCAGCCAGGCTAGTTCCAGCGTCCTGTTGGGCTAGTTGTGGTCAATTCCATTCTTTAGTCAGTTTTTAAGAATATTTTTGATTTCAGAGAGAAAGGAAAAGGGAGACAAACATCAATGACAAGAATCATTATCGTCGGCCTCCTGCACCCCCACCCCCACCCCCACCAGGGATCGAGTCCGCAACCCGGGCACGTGCCCTTGACCCGGAATCAAACCCGGGACCTTTCAGTCTGCGGCCAACGCTCTACCCAGAGCCAGACCGGCCAGGCCTTGCCAGTCACTGTCTCGCCTCAGCTCCTTCTGACCCTGTGAGTGGCTCTGAAAAGAGCCTTTGGTTTCTGAGCTTTCCTCTCCCGGGATGCAGGTCACTTCCGCTGGCCTTTCTGGTAGTAGCTCTCGGTCTTCTTGGGCAGCAGCACGGCCTGGATGTTGGGCAGCACGCCGCCCTGCGCGATGGTGACCTTGCCCAGCAGCTTGCTGAGCTCCTCGTCGTTGCGGACGGCCAGCTGCAGGTGGCGCGGGGCGATGCGGGTCTTCTTGTTGTGGCGGGCCGCGTTGGCTGCCAGCTCCAGGATCTCGGCCGCCAGGTACTCCAGCACCGCAGTCAGATACACTGATGCGCCGGCGCCGATGCGTTCCGCGTAGTTGCCGTTATGCAGCAGGCGGTGCACGCGGCCCACGGGGAACTGCAGCTGAGCCCTGAAAGAGCGAGATACAGCCTTGGCGCGCGCCTTGCGGTCCTGCTTTCCCGACACAGACATAATGCTGGATATGTCCGGCGCTATGGAAAAGACACCCTCAGGGCAAATGCAGGGCCAATTTATAGTCTGCCGTAGGTTGTGACTTGCCATCTGATTGGCTGACTGGCGGATGCTCATCCAATCAGAAAGCAGTACTGAAATCACTTCATTTGCATACACGTCACTGCCATTATCCAATCAAATGGGGCTGCCCAGCAGTCAGTTGACGGCCACCCTATAAATACCAGGCTTTGGGCCACCAACCGCTGTTCACTGACCTGTGTCAGTTGGAGTGTGGAGCTGAGTACGCACCATGCCGGAGCTGGCTTCGAAGGGCGCCACTATTTCCAAGAAGGGCTTTAAGAAGGCTGTGACCAAGACCCAGAAGAAAGAGGGCAAGAAGCGCAAGAGGTGCCGCAAGGAGAGCTACTCGATTTATATCTACAAGGTGCTCAAGCAGGTGCACCCCGACACCGGCATCTCGTCCAAGGCCATGGGCATCATGAACTCGTTTGTCAATGACATTTTTGAACGCACCGCGGGCCGAGGCGTCGCGCCTGGCGCATTACAATAAGCGCTCGACCATCACTTCTCGCGAGATTCAGACGGCCGTGCGCCTGCTGCTGCCCGGCGAGCTGGCCAAGCACGCCGTGTCCGAGGGCACCAAGGCCGTCACTAAGTACACCAGCTCCAAGTGAGGTGCTTCGGCCTCTGTCAAACCCAAAGGCTCTTTTAAGAGCCACTTACACTTTCTAAAGGCCTGTAAGGTTTTTAGTTGTACACCATTCAATGGCTAGTTTAACTGGTAAAAAATTGCTATATTTGTGGTTCACATTTGGGGCAAAGTTTCTGGGCATTGACTGCCTATAGGGGACATTGATAAACACATCTTACTAGTCCATGGCCAGACTACCAATGTGTTTAGCTAGATAGCAAGACAGCTCTTTTTAGGAAACATAGGTGGCTCTTAAAAGAGCCTTTGAGTTTAAAAAGGTCATCTGGTGGCCAAATCCTTTTATTTGGAGCTGGTGTACTTGGTGACGGCCTTGGTGCCCTCGGACACGGCGTGCTTGGCCAGCTCGCCGGGCAGCAGCAGGCGCACGGCCGTCTGGATCTCCCGGGACGTGATGGTTGAGCGTTTATTGTAATGCGCCAGGCGCGAAGCCTCGCCCGCGGTGCGTTCAAAAATGTCATTGACAAACGAGTTCATGATGCCCATGGCCTTGGACGAGATGCCGGTGTCGGGGTGCACCTGCTTGAGCACCTTGTAGATATAAATCGAGTAGCTCTCCTTGCGGCACCTCTTGCGCTTCTTGCCCTCTTTCTTCTGGGTCTTGGTCACAGCTTTCTTAAAGCCCTTCTTGGAAATAGTGGCGCCCTTCGAAGCCAGCTCCGGCATGGTGCGTGCTCAGCTCCACACTCCAACTGACACAGGTCAGTGAACAGCGGTTGGTGGCCCAAAGCCTGGTATTTATAGGGTGGCCGTCAACTGACTGCTGGGCAGCCCCATCTGATTGGATAATGGCAGTGACGTGTATGCAAATGAGGTGATTTCAGTACTGCTTTCTGATTGGATGAGCATCCGCCAGTCAGCCAATCAGATGGCAAGTCACAACCTACGGCAGACTATAAATAGGCCCTCTGTGGCGTGTTTTGGTTAGATTTCCCCTTATTGCTACTACCATCTCAAGTTATGTCTGGGCGCGGCAAACAGGGCGGCAAGGCCCGCGCCAAGGCCAGATCTCGCTCCTTTAGGGCCCAGCTGCAGTTCCCCGTGGGCCGAATCCACCGCCTGCTCCGCAAGGGCCACTACGCCGAGCGCATTGGGGCGGGCGCTCCCGTGTACCTGGCGGCGGTGCTGGAGTACCTGACGGCCGAGATCTTAGAATTAGCAGGAAACGCGTCCCGCGACAACAAGAAGACGCGCATCATCCCGCGCCACCTGCAGCTGGCCATCCGCAACGACGAGGAGCTCAACAGGCTACTGGGCGGTGTGACCATCGCGCAGGGCGGCGTGCTGCCCAACATCCAACCCGTGCTGCTGCCCAAGAAGACCGAGAGCCACCACAAGGCCAAGGGCAAGTGAGGAACCTGAACGTCTAGAGAGAAAGAAACCAAAGGCTCTTTTCAGAGCCACTCAGATCCTCAGTAAAGGCTGTCACAGCGCAGAAAGCTGGGCTTGTGTGGTTCTCTGGCGAGCTTCTTAGGAAACAGCACCTGGAGACGACCTTCGGTTCTAATAGCGGGTCCTTTCGCATTAAGGCTGGAAAGCAGAGGCTCCTGGGCCCTGGCAGCCGCCAGCTTAGCTACTGGAGCCCTTGGGAGAAGGAGCAAACGTCCTCTAGCGCTCTAACACCCCGTTCCTGAGCTGATGTGAGCAGAAACCTTACATTAAGGCTCAGGTAAATAGGGCTAAGTGATGGGTTAGAATAAACAATGTTGTAGCTTCCAGGTTAGCTGGTGGCCGTCTACAGGACGAAAGTCAATCTAACAAGGCTGCGTCCCTCCAAACGTGCTGGTACCGTTCCTATGAGATCTTTAGACAGCAGTAGCCAGGAGTCAGCAAGTCAGTCTCACCATGTGGTAACGGGGTTAGTGTATTTGATAACCGACTTCACACACGTGCTTAGTAAATGGAATTTTCTTAAAATGTAAAGCAAAATGTATCTCAAAATGAGCTTGATGCCACATGTGATGGAGAGAATCTAGTCATCCTCAGAGGCTGGAATGTGGCACGTTCTTCCATCATAACTTTTTGAAATTGTTAGGGAATTTTGGTCCTTTTCAGAAGTTTTAACTACAAAGAAGAGACATTTTTAGTTTGTTTCCACTGCAAATACCAAGTCAAATTGGAAAGTAAATGAACACTTAGGCTGTCAATACAAAATTACTGTACAGCATTCAAGTTTAGCTGATCTCCAAGAAAAAGAATCTAATTGGTTAGCTAAAAAAACATATTGCTGGACACTACACAGACATGTATAGAAGCAGGTGTGAAGGTTTAAAGTCCTATAAAGTTAAAGAGAATAAACTATATAATATGTTAATTAGGGGCAATCAAGTATGAAATTATCTCTTGAATTAATGTACATAAGTATTAAGGCATACAATTGGGGGAGGCACAAAGGAAGGAAAAATTTAGAAGATAAAACTTGCACAGATATTGGAACAAATTAGATGTTTAGAACATTGCCAATAACTTTAAACTGTGACATTTTAAAATCAGAATAATGATATAAATGACTGAGCGAGTAGGGATATGTGAAAATTTTCCTCAACAAGAATTTCAAAAATGTCATCTAGATGCTCCCCATCAAGCAAGGTAGCTTAACTCCCAGACTGGCTGAAGCACAGAGTGTGGACAGGGGAGAGAGGGCGTGACTTCACAATGAGAAACCTGGAACACACCTGTTAACAGGTTCAGGCTTGAAAGTGAAACCAGCTCTGGCTGGCGTGGCTCAGTGGGTGGAGCGCCCTTGTCCCCTGCACCGAGGTGACTGGTTCGGTTCTGGTAAGAACACACATGCCCCGGTTGCCCAGAGGGGGCGCACAGGAGGCAGCCAATAGATGTTTCTCTCTCCCTCTCCCTCCTTCCCTAAAAAAATAAAAACATTTTTTTAAGTTAAACAACAAAAGTTATTGCACAGCAACTGAGTTTATTCGGGAATAGCAGAGGAACTGCAATTCTGAACAAGCAAAACAGGGCGACCCCCGGGCCAGTATGGAGGACCAAGGAGAGGAGCTGCCACAGAAAAGGAGAAGGTGGGGGGTGAGAGAAGCTTCTCACTGACCCCTAAGCCAATAGGACTGCCGGCCAGGAGGTTGTTTCCACAGTCTCCCCGGGTGTCTGGCGAGCTCCTTCTTCATTCCGACTTTGCACGGAGTGTAGAGAAGTTACGTCGCACAGCTCGTGGCGTGGCAGGGCCCACGGAGAACCCAGCTCACTCAGGGCGGGAGGTCGCCGGCAGGGGCTGTGGTGCGTCTCCTGGTCTTGTGAACAGTCGACCTGAATAAAGTCCCTGTTTTTTTTTTTTTAAACTATATTTTTACTGATTTCAGAGAGGAAGGGAGAGGGAGAGAGAGATAGAAACATCCATGATGAGAGAGAATCATAGATGGGATGCCTCCTGCACGGCCCACACTGGGGATCGAGCCCGCAACCCGGGCCTGTGCCCCGACCGGGAATTGAACCCTGACCTCCTGGTTCATAAGTTGACGCTCAACCCCTGAGCCAGGCTGGCCGGGGCTGAAGTCCCTCCTCGTGCCACACTCAGGGCACCTGAGAACAGGAAGGACGGCCGGGGTGCTCCCACCAGGGCCTTGCCCTCCCCCCCCTCCAGGTAGAGGGGCTGTCAAACCATCACAGACACTGCAAGGGCCACAACACAGACGCAGTCAGCAGCGCACGTCCGTTTGCAGCTGCAGGTTTATTTCCAGGTGAGAGTTGAGTTGCAGACAGCACAGCGGGCACAGCGGGCAGACGCGGCAGAAGGTCACGGGAGGGCACAGAGCACAGGGTGGGTGCGCTGCCCCTGCCCCATCACTGCGGGGGGATGACAGGGTTCACAGAGGCTTGTGGGGGGGGACCCTAAAAGGGGGAGGGAGGTTTCAAAATCACCGAATCATTAGAAACAGGGGCCCGCGTCCTTCAGGACAAATCCCACACCGTCCGCTACAGAGTTCGCTCGCGGTGCCCCCGACAGCGAAGCACAGACACCAGCCGCACGCCAAGCGCAGAGCAGAGCTGCCTACGGGTCAGGGGCTGCTCCTCAGCCCGAGACACAGGGCCAGCTCCGCCTTCTGGATCTTCCCGTCCTGGTTCGCGTCGCAGTGACACAGAAGGCTCTCCCGGAGCCTCTCCAGGTCGGCCCCGCGGACGCTGGGCTGAGGACAGAAAGGACCTGTCCACAGGTGAGACAGTGGCCGTCCTTGGAGGCCCCCTCCCTGCGGCTCACCAGCTCGGGGACCCCTGCTCCTGAGAGGCCCTCGGGGAGCAACGCCCCTCCTCATCCCACCAGGGT